TTTTGTGATGCGTGCTGAGTTCGGAGGAAGTTCCTTGATACCTGCTGATACTGGAGGGCAGATAAAGGCCCTAAGGAGTGTTTAGAATTACAAAAGTTCTGTTAGCACTACTGACACTAAAAGGTTTCTGGTTAAAGATTTTCCTGGAGGCTGCTAGAACTCTGGCTTCAGATTGACTCACATTTATCTAGTAATAGATATAAAAATTTATGACATATTCATTTAAAAGTTCATATGTTATGCCATAAAAGAGACCTCGTGTATTCAAAAAGATAAAAATAACACTGAAAGCATTTCTTGATTATAATATATTGAAATCAGAAGAAAACACAAAACATCCTGCTACCCAGAAGTAATTTTATTTATTTAATAATTAATATCATGCCATTAAAAACAGTTAGATCAAAGAAGAAATGTAAACCAAAATAATCACAATAGCTAGGAAATAATGATAGTGAAGAAACTATATATGTTTTTGAGAATAAATCATAAAAAGAAGAAATAATAATTTATTTAGAAATAAAAGTAGAAATGAATGATTTAGAACTCAAGAAACAAGAAAAACATATGGAAAAGATTGCAACAAATTATAAATTACTTTAAATAAAATTATAAAAAAGCTTTTTAAAATAAATAAAATGGATTAAAATCCTAATCAAATAGAAAAAAAAAAAGAAGAAAGCTCATGCACAAAAAACAAGAGATGACGTAAAAGAAAAAGAATGTAGAAGCAAAGTAATTTTAAAATATTAACAGATTACATTTCTAATTCAAAGCACAAAGAACTTAAAACTTGGAAAAACTACCAGCAAAATATAATTTACAAAGCCAACCATAAAATATGCATAAATTCTGAGATTTATTTGATTTAAGTTCTTATTAAATCAATATTTTTCAAAACCTTTACTTTTCCCAAAATTATGTATTTTATGAATATGCCTAGTGAGCCTAGGATATTAAATTAACTTTAACATAATAAGAAAAATAACCAAGAATAAGAAATGTTAAGAGCAGTAATAAGTAAATAGACAAAAAGAACAAAATAGTGCTACATAGAAGCACTTTTAATAAGGATTCTAAATGTCTCTAAAGGTAAAGAAGGACCACATAAATGGTTTTGATTGTATTTTTTTGTTCAAGTTGCTATTTCTTATTCACTCTTGCTTCAATCAAAAGGAGAAAAAAAGAAGGAAGAAAAAATATATAGAAAAATTGTTGTCATTGTTGTTAGCTTCTGTCAAGTCAGCCCATTTCCTATGGTGACCACAAGCACAGCAGATTGAAACACCGCTCAGTCCTACACCATTATCATGGTTAGCTGGGAATAAGATCATTGTAATCCATAGGGATTTCATTGGCCAAATTTTAGAAGTAGATTGCCAGCTCTTTCTCCTAGTGTATCTTAGTCTGAAGGAGCTTTGGTGGTGTAGTGCTTAAGGCATTTGACTGCTAACCAGAAGGCTGGTGGTTCAAACCCACCAGCCACTCCTCAGAAGGAAGGTTGGGCAATCTACTTCTGTAGTGACA